GACGCCCTCAACTCCGCTCCCATCCCTGGCATTAAGATCAAGAAAAAGAAAAGAGTTCTGTCCCCGACGGCTGCCAAGGTGAGATGCCCCCAAACCCCAAACGTCACCCCATTGATTTTTTTTATAGGGTCCCAAGTCCTCATTTTACTCCCATCCCTTTTCCCAGCCCAGTCCATTCGAGGGCAAATCCATATCCGAAAGCAGTGCCACCAAACCTTCATCTCCTGAACCCAATTCTGGTTCTGATGGCATGGAATCGGATCGACCCGGCACTCCGGTTCCGGCTGTGGAAGTACCAGAACCGATGGAAATAGGTGAGTGATTTGATAAATCCTAATTAACGTCACGGGGGAGGGGGATGGATGGTGTAAAAAGAAAAAAAAAAACCCCAAAAACCAAAAATCCTATTGTTGAGTTTTGTTTATAGGGTCGTCGGAGCAAAGCGACGGGAAACAAAACGACGGTGGGGGCGACGGGGCTCCGCTCAGTAAGAAGGGCAGGAAAAGGAAAAGCGTGAGCTGGCCCGAGGAGAGCAAACTGAGGGAGTACTTCTACTTCGAGCTGGATGAGACAGAGAGGGGTGAGATATGGGGTGGGGGGGTTCCCCCCCATAAAGGAAATCTGGGAAATGGGGTTCTCCGTGAAATGGGTCATCGAAAAAGATGGGGAGTCCAGTAAGATGGGTGACCTGAAAGGATGGGGAGCCCAAAAGGATGGGAGACCTGAAAGATGGGGTCCTATAAAAGGGATGGGGACCTCAAAAAGATGAGTAACCCAAAAGGATGGGGATCCCAAAAGATGGCGTCCTCCAAAAAGATGGGGACCCTAAAAAGATGGGGACCCTAAAAAGATGGGGACCCTAAAAAGATGGGTAACTCAAAAGATGGTGTCCTATAAAAGGGATGGGGACCTCAAAAAGATGAGTAACCCAGAAGGATGGGTCCTCCAAAAGGATGGGGACCCTAAAAAGATGGGGACCCTAAAAAGATGGGGACCCTAAAAAGATGGGGACCCTAAAAAGATGGGGTCCTATAAAAGTGATGGGGACCCCAAAAAGATGAGTAACCTAGAAGGATGGGGATCCCAAAAGGATGGATAACTCAAAAGATGGGGTCCTATAAAAGGGATGGGGTCCCCCAAAAGGATGAGTAACCCAGAAGGATGAGGTCCTCCAAAAGGATGGGGTCCTCCAAAAAATGGGGACCCTAAAAAGATGGGTAACCCAAAAGGATGGGGAGCCCAAGAAGGTGGGTAACTCAAAAGATGGGGTCCTATAAAAGGGATGGGGTCCTATAAAAGGGATGGGGACCCCAAAAAGATGAGTAATCCAGAAGGATGGGGATCCCAAAAGATGGGGTCCTCCAAAAAGATGCCGACCCTAAAAAGATGGATAACTCAAAAGGATGGGGTCCTATAAAAGGGATGGGGACCCCAAAAAGATGGGGACCCCCAAAAATATGGATAACCCAAAAAGATAATGGGGTCCTCCAAGAAATGGGGTTCTCCATGAAATGGGTCATCTGAAATGATGGGGAGCCCAAAAAGATGGGTGACCCAAAAAGATAATGGGATCCCCCAAAGGATGAGCCCCCAAAAATGGGTCCCCCAAAAATGGATCCCCTAAAGGATGAGCCCCCGAAAAATGGATCCCCCAAAAGATGAGCCCCCAAAAATGGGTCCCCCAAAAATGGATTCCCAAAGGATGGTCCCCCAAAAATGGGTCCCCCATAGGATGAGCCCCCCAAAAATGGGTCCCCCAAAGGATGGGCACCCCAAAGGATGATCCCCCAAAAATGGGTCCCCCAAAAATGGATCCCCTAAAGGATGAGCCCCCGAAAAATGGGTCCCCCAAAGGATGAGCCCCCAAAAATGGGTCCCCCAAAGGATGAGCCCCCAAAAACGGGACCCCAAAGGATGGTCCCCCAAAAATGGATCCCCCATAGGATGACCCCCTCAAAAATGGGTCCCCCAAAAATGGATCCCCTAAAGGATGAGCCCCCGAAAAATGGATCCCCCAAAGGATGAGCCCCTCAAAAATGGGTCCCCCAAAGGATGGGCACCCCAAAGGATGAGCCCCCAAAAATGGGTCCCCCAAAAATGGATCCCGCAAAAATGGGTCCCCCAAAAATGGATCCCCTAAAGGACGAGCCCCCGAAAAATGGATCCCCCAAAGGATGAGCCCCCAAAAATGGGTCCCCCAAAGTTGGGTCCCCCAAAAATGGATCCCCAAAGGATGAGCCCCCCAAAAATGGATCCCCCAAAGGATGAGTCCCTAAAGTTGGGTCCCCCAAAAATGGATTCCCAAAGGATGGTCCCCCAAAAATGGGTCCCCCATAGGATGAGCCCCCAAAAAATGGGTCCCCCAAAGGATGGGCACCCCAAAGG